GAGAAGGAATAGAAGAGAAGAGAGAGAAGAGAGAGAGAGAGAGAGAGAGGAGAAGAGAGGAGAAGAGCAGAGAGGAGAGAGAGAGAGAGAGACGAGAGAGAGAGAGAGAGAGATGAGATGAGAGGGGAGAGAGAGAAGAGAAGAGAGAGAAGGAGAGAGAGAGAGACGGGCAGAGAGAGAGAGCGGAGGGAGAGAGAGGAGGAGATGACGAGGAGAGAGGAGAGAGAAGAGAGAGAGAGAGAGACTGAGAGAGAGAGAGAGAGAGAGAGAGATAGGAGAGGAGAGAGAAGACGAGAGAGAAGAGAGGAGAGAGAACGAGACGACAAGAGAGAGAGAGAGACGAGAGAGAGAGAGATGAGAGAGAGAGAGAGAGAGAGAGAGAGAAGAGCACAGTCACTTAGAGCGTTTCAATAAAGTCAAGAGTAGCATAACGTAGATAATATAACATGTATAACATATACAATAAATGTTATATTATCTACTCTTGATAAAATATAATGCTAAATAAATACGAAATCTATTACCTATTCCCTGTTTCTCTACTCTCTTTCGCCTATTAGGCTATTATTGCCAACAATTTCCTGTAAATGCCGTGCAAATGCTCCTCTGCAACACACAGGTACACCGCGGGCACGCTGCCGCACACTGACACACATATATATAGACTATATATCAGAAGTAGATAATAGGGAATATTCCCTATTATCTACTTCTGATATATATGTGTCAGTGTGCGGTAGCGTGCCCGCGGTGTACATGTGTGTTGCAGAGGAGCATTTGCACGGCATTTACAGGAAATTGTTGGCAATAATATGAGAGAGGTGCTAGCTGCGCCAGGTATCACCTGCTCCCACAGCTGTTCGCTGCATGTCAGATCGGGCAGTCTGTCTGTGTGTAGCGGCAGCTGTGTGCTCTGCGCATGGACGTGGGGGTAGCGTGTATCAACCATTGTGAGCCAGCTCCCGTGTGTGTATGTATCGCGGTAGCTGTCCTTTATCGCACCCCGATCATTATTCACACGCATTAATCTGCAATAAAATTACCTGCTGTCGACAGACAAAGACGTAGATGGCTACCCGCGCGCCTGTCGGCCTGTGTCGCGAACCGGCGAGCGTGAGGGACGGCACCCGACTATCACAGTGGTCAGTGTCTGACCTCGGGCCCGCCAATATCCTGCCCGTAGTAAAGAGAACTTGTTCTCGGCGCACCGGTTACAAATTTTGGAGGGAAATGGGAGTCTGTGCGTGATCTGGGACAGAGCACACGTTAAAGTGGAAAACAGGTTCGTAACAAGAGGGAATCGCGGGAAAAAGAGATATACTCATATACACACACGCGCGCGCACACACGCACACGCACACGCACACGCACACGCACACATTTACGTGGAGTTACAGTGATGTTTGACAATGCCATACCTGAGCCGCTGCGAATGAATGAAAATGTGCCAAGGCGTTCAACATCAGGGCCCACAGTTGGCGGGGATCCTTCGCCTTGCACATGAGCCCAACGTATTTGTGAGCCAACAAAGAAACTTCAGTGAGCGCGCGGTGCAAAATTGCACAGCGTACAGATGTTTGCTATGTGGAGTTGGTTTTCACTGTATGGGGTTAGTTTACACCCGTTACAGCGCTGCACAACGCACGCTGTCGCACGAAGGTACGACAGACACATTAGAAATGAAAGTTAAACAAGTCGGTCTCAGCAGCAGTCAGAGCAAAATCTATACGAGCAGTCATGTGCGTGATATACACTCAGCGTGTCTGTTCGGTCCTTTGCCAAAGACACTCCCAATGCTAATTAGATTATTAATAATAACAATAATTAGAAGCATGATCATTTGAGGTATATACATGGAACATCTGTGCCAGCATACTAAAAAAAATCAGCAGGGTGTTGCATTCCCGCGTGGGGTGGTTCTCTGCAAACCTAACAATGGCCAGGTGTGGCATTGTGACAACCGGCTTCATATATGTTTGGCGTCTGCAATATTCAGAAGGTTACGGTTTCACTTTGCAGATTATAACTCGTATAGTAATCACTCGCTATGTAAACATTTTACTCAATTCTGACACGTGTGAGCTTGAGAGGAATGTCGTAGGGAGCCTACATGTGAAGTTCAGTGCGGAAAAATCCGTACACCTTTCCTGGTGTAGGTGTGCAACTGTGTCATACTGAAATTTGTGGGCTGATAATCGGTATCACCACGTACGTCTGATTGTCTGAGCAAAATCCGCATATTATGCCGATGTTAGAGGGGGTAGATCACTGGACCACAGTCCATGTGCACTGTGCTTATTTACAGCCGCCATATGCTTGACATAGTACTACCAATTCGCTAGATGATATTATTGGCCTGACCCATTTTCATTGATGGAGACAGTAATCGTATGCCTGGCATATATGCATGCATATTGATCCCGCTGGCGGCTAGCCGCTGTATTTGTCTTTGTCTTCGCGCAGTGTAAATCACGCAGTCTGGCTTCAGGACCACTGTAGATCATTAGCGGTGGCGGTGCACCTAGGGATGCATGTATGCATCCGTGTGTATACATGTGCATGCGCGCATGCATGTGTGCGTGCGTATGCGTACCCTAGCGATTGGTAACGCTCGTGTTCAGTTTAATTTTGCAACGCGCGAGGGTGCTGGATAACATAAATAAATGACAGATAGGAAAGCTTGCAAGAAGGCAGTCAGGAAGGTGGGCAGCCAGACAGACAGGAATTCTTGCAAGCGGGCTGGCAGGGGCACGAATAAATCCATCACCGTGTATATATTGAATGACCATGTAACTGTAAGCGCACGTTTTTACGCAGTAGACCTGTATACATGAGAATGTTGTGACAAATAACTTGCATCACAATGCCTGCAGCTTAGTACCTATAGTACTGATCAATCATGTACTACAGTCCTGTATGAAACAAAGGTAAACGTGCTACGGATGCAGTGAGCATGAACTCTAGTGACGCCTGGGTTGTTTACATGCTTTCAGATCATTCATCTTATGGATATAAATGGTCCGAGCCAGCAACTAGTTTTAGACAGGAACAGGCTGTGCCAATGAGGTTACCAATAGGAAATGCTAGGACTGATTCCCACGTATGTGTGAAGCAATACGCATCCGGTAACATGATGTGTTCAAGTCTTAAAATTGTAAAAAAAAACTCACGAAGATATATATGTATTATGGGCAGGAAAGTATGTAGGGAAAGTATGTAAGGAAGCGAGCAAGGTCGTATTAATTTTGCTGAACTTGATAGATGCATCTCTTGGATGTTATCAATCGCCTGCACTGTGGTGGGAATTAGGACCTGGGAGAAGAGGACCGGGGCTTGGAGATCGAGGGAGGGTGTGATAGAGAGGTAGGCTAGAATTGGGAGAGGTTTTAAGGGTTATGTGTTCATTGGAAACTACCAGCGAGGAGACGAGGAGTACACGTGCATTAGAAACAAGGGACTCAGTCAATGGTATGCTTATATTGGCAACTAGGGAGCGGGTGCCGGATACGCTTGCTTGTACTAGGACCTAGGGAGTGGGGTAGTGGTGCGCTTGTATTAGGAAATAGGGAGTGGGGAGTGGTACGCCTTTATTAGGAACTAGGAAGCAGGGTAGTGGTACGCTTGTATTACGAACTAGGGAGTGGGCAAGGGGATATGGTAGGTAGACTGGCAATGAAGGCATGTATTGTACTCTGCAGAAAACCTGATATTGGAGGTTGGGAGAAACAGCAAATGGTACAAATAAAGCTATATAGAGATACATTATGCATGTGTACTTTATCTAAAACCAACCAATTTCTTATACAATTTTGTAATCGATGTAGTATTAGTAATCGAGCACCTTGTAATCGATACAGCTATAAATGCGCACTTCCTAATAACACTTATTCACTGTAATCTGATAGCCACGCAATACTTAATGAATAATTGAAATGTATTTTTACAAGTTTAAACATGATCGGACTGTGCTTCTTCATAGTCGGGATGGCATTCTACACTAGTGGTCGACATATATTTATATTAATCTGTCTCGAATGAAAGGCTTCCCTGCACACAAAGCCCAACGATGTGCGAAGAAGAACTGACATTAGTAAAGAATGAATAATGGGGAGTCGTGTCTCACTAGCACACTCAATGGTGAAATATTGCCCTAGTGTAAAAGATTTTGAATTTGATTTAAGGAATGAAAGCTTTTGAATTAAGAACAGAATGAGCTGCTAAAATTATGACAGGTTTGTGACGAATTAAGATATTGAGCCAACCATCCGTCGTTGAGCATTAGTATACGTAGGGTGTCTGTAATTGTAGTCAGTATAGTCAGCCGTGATGGCTTGATGGTGTCTTCAAGGTTGTATGTATCTAGGTGAAACACTGTTGATTTTAACAAATTTTTGGTGGATCTGTCAGTGCTATATGCTTTTATATGGTTTAGCTAGTACTAGCAACGTGCAACAGTAACTATAGCCGTAGCGATACTTAAATTTTTAAGTATAATGAGTAGTTACATGCGTTTGGCTTGCATATCATACGTGAAAACCTTGTGAGTACTTAATGGATAGGAGACTTGCCTATAAATAGAGAATATCCCTGAAAGATTTATTTTAACAGCGTGAAGATTGCAATGAACAAAACGTTCAACCCCAGAATGGAACAACCCCAGTAGCATGCATGATGATCTCTCTTTGTTACAATGGTTAAGAACTAGTAATAAGCTTGGAATCTTTCTGTTGTGTCAGAAATTTAAGGCGAATGTTAAGTTTTGTACCGTATTGTGTGATTTATAGTATGAAAAATATATCTTTTTATAGACATAATGATAAGGTGATACTTGTCGTTTGTGTTCTTTTTAATTACCACAACTACAATTCTCGTGTGCCTAGTGTGCAAAATGTTACCACTTTCCTGCGGAGGTTCTCATTAAACAATATTCTTATGTCATTTCAGGCCAAGCTCGAAGTGGACAGAGACGGCAATGGTGCTAAGATATACGCGTACGCGTACGATGTGGGCAGGGGCCGAGCCTTTGGACAGTACCTCCATGAACTACTCTGGTACGTATCCTCAATCCGGTGTTAGCTCACTAGTATGTAAAATTTGTGGTACAATTTCCGGTACCAGGAGATTTATTGTGAGAAAGTCACGTTAAATTGATTTTGCAATGATGGTTCCACCAACAATGCCTCACTGATGCCCTTATTATGAGTGCATACTGCTTAGGACGGTGGTTAGGATATGACAGTTTAATTTTACATTTGTAAAATTCCCAAGCATCGGGTGGTTATTGTCTGTAATAATTGTGATGAACAATTCACATGTTGGTTCTTCAAGGCCTCTATTTTGATGCATTTATACACTAAATCAGATGAAACCATATTTATAAGTACCTGCACACAGGCGCACACACACAGTGACATGCACACACGCACGCACGCGCACGCACGCACGCACGCACACACGCACGCACAAACGCGCACACAGAATGTACTGGGAAGCTCATGCTGTGAGTTTGTTCTTCCACGTGTTGTTAGCATATTGTAGTCCTAGTCTAGTGCAAACACGATTGAGCCTGTAATTTGATGTTGTGTCCGTATGCAAGTATCTGCTACTGGAAGGTGAAGATGGTGTGTTTGAAAGCTCACAGGAATTCTGTGCATTGATGAGTAATGGGTGCTGTGTTGCAGGGAGAAGCATTGCGGTGGTATAGCACCTGGGTACAAGGTAATACACAAAAACAGCGTGACTGTAGACAACCGACTAGAAAATCTCGAGCTAGTTCCAGGCTCTCACAGCTCGGGTCGTTCTGGTAAGTGTCGCACCGTTAGTGAAGATCTTTATGTTTCAAATAATTGCCACTGCTGTTGTCAAAAAATCAATGCTAGTCATTGTGGTTTGGCTATTTCACCTACTGTCTCTAAATTGTAATCATACGATAAAAGGTAGCGATAGCCGTTATGAAATGCAAGTGTTGTGATCTGTGACAGTCGCGATTTTTAGTGAGTCGTAAGGCTATCCTAGAAGTAGTTTCCCTTTTAAATTAAAACGTGAATAACTGGACAGTTTTTTGGAAATATAACACATGGCTAAATTATATAATGCATCGTCTTCAACGCGAACTGTTGTAAATTGTGATGTTGCACTTTTACAGATGAGCCCTTCACAAAAAACCGAGAGCAGAGCCTTTACTGGGTGGCCATACAACAACTACCGATTGACCCACTAGAAGATGTAAGTCTCTAGGCTCCTTATCAACACAGTCGTGTTGCATTTTTATTCACGGCTTTTTCACGGTCGTGCATTCTACTTGCATGTTCACCACACATATACCTGTACTATGCTGTTTCACCATGCTGTGAATTTCATGAAGATGGAGGGATCGTGCTTGCTGTATTTATATCCATGAAGATATGTATTTATCAGAGAATGTAGCATAAATCACACACTATTTCCAATTCGTGCAGAAACTGTAGCGTTTCTGCATTTGCACACAAAAATGAATTTTACGCAACTGTCAATGTGGCCGAGCATCGAGAAATAGTTGATGGATAGAGGCATTAGCATGTAGATTTGAACAGAGGTTGACCCTTGAAAGTTTAATGAAATTATTTGTATCGGTAAAGGCTGAATACAAAGATGGACTGTACAAACGGAATGGTTATATTCCAAGTGATTTAAAAACGTTTTTTTGTTAATTTTGTTTGGTCTCCATTGATGGATTTGTCTAATATGTTATTTCAGCACTTGCCTGAGAGAGTAAGGACAAAATTCTACAATGCCAATGGAGAGATTGTAGAGGAAGAAGGTGAGACATGCTTTATATCTGAGCACTATGGAAATCAGACATTGCAGAACTATTGCTCTGGCAATTTAGGCCGACTGATGTAGTCTTTACTATGAATAATATCAGGAGTCTATCAATATCTATTGATAGACTCCTGATAATATTTTATTCTGTGCATTATTTATTGGCACATAGACCATGTTATAGAGACGAGGTAACTTGTTCCTCTGGAAATCTATGGCACTGTATAGTTTTAAAGCGTTGCAATGGCTGGCTGAGGCACATGTTATGTGTATACCTGTGAGTTCATGTTTATACACAACATCAGATGATATGAGGGAATGCTATTTGTGTTTTTGTGTAAATATCTTCTGTTTTCGTTTACCAAATGCAGATGATAGCACATGTTACTACGAGTGTCACTACGCACCCTGTACGAATATGGAGCGAGAGCTACGCGAGTTTAGTATATGTGGCAGATGCCAACAAGCTAGGTGAGTTGATATAGTGTTAGAAGGTATTCCAGCGATTTCAAGCACCACTAATCATGGCTTCTTTATGTTCTTTTAATAGCCTGTTCATTGATTATGCGAGGAATCTTGCCAATTAATGGGAAAATCTATAACATTATCTGTTGATTGATTAACACAGAAGGTTAGTGGGCGTGGGTGGTTCAGAGTAATGGACGGTTATACAATCAAATGTTATGTAAGTCGTTCAAGGTAAATTCATGCAAGTGTGCATTAAAGACAGGTTTCCATCCAAAGAGTTGGTGCCACAGTGTAGCAGTCACTCAAGTGAAATACCAAATGTGGCCTTATTAGACAGGTTTCTGTTCTATAGACATTACTGATAATACAGGATTGACAGCGGATACTGTCAGTGCATGTGTATGAATAGTTCACAATCATTATCAATTTACAGAATCTGATTGTTGATAGACAAAGACAGTTAATAAACAGTGTGGGATGGTAATTCATGGTAAACTGAATGAAACTGACAGTAATGTGAATAGGTAATGGGAAAAATGGTTGCTCAAAAATGAAAAGAATGTGATCACGGCCCACGGGTTAATGTTTGGATTTCCAATATGAAATCCTCCTGCACTTGAATTGGACTGTGTTTTAATGTTCATCAACAGAGAGGTATTACAATGGCTTAATTCCTTGTTAGAATTTTTGTAGTGTTTGTATGTATACGTGTGCACGTGTTAACAGTTAAATTATATTCTGCATTGCAGATACTGTGGTACGTATTGTCAGCAGCGGGACTGGCCAATGCACAAACGATACTGTCGAGAGAAGCGAAGGCCTGTCATCACAGAACGTCCACCCGAGCGCTAATGGCGCCATCTAGGACCACATTGTCATACTGCCATGCTGCAACGGTCACCAAGCTGCGTTGTTGTGAGCTCTTGAAGTCTGAGGCCAGTCACTCACCGTGTGAAGATTATTTGTCTGTAACGAAATTACCAAAGCCGTACATACCAAGCTGAACTTACTGAGCTTCTCGTGATTGTCTGGGTTTGCCTTTTTAATGCCCCTCAGTATTCACTTTTCTTTAAACAGTCATCATTGCAGAATGGCAAGAGAGAGAGAGTGAAGGCAAATGAAGGCTGTCACGAGAATAGGATACACTGTTCGGGGGTGTTTAAGTAAGCTGGGATAACTTTAGTGGTATCGAACATTGATGGTATAGCTATATCTAGTCGAGTAGCTTGATCGCTCTGTACGTAGCTTGCTTATAATCTTTCTCAATTAGATGTGAGCATCCTAACTCCAGTGTGGTAGCTCCTTTTAATTAACAGCATTTGTAGGGGTTACATAATGAATTTGAACACCAGTTTACACCGTTATTTAGCTTTGGTAGTTGGTAATGAAAGCCAACCATCAAGGGCATGTGCTTTTAAATTGGGTTACAAAAACATTTGAGCTTGTCTGAAATGTTTCGGGCACATTCGAATTGAGGTCAGTATAATGTCAGCAGTGAAAGGCAGCAGATTTTTTATTAATTGTGGAATCTAGGGCTCGATTCGTGTAGTGCGCCTTTATCTAGGTCAAGAGCTGTACACATTTGCTTATGGTGGCCCGGAAAACAACGTATTGTACATATATTTATACTACACATGTCTATTAACAGAGTATCTATCTATTTAATGTGATAACATCAGGAGAGTCATGATATACGTGTGTATATCCGTTCCTCCTGATAAACATGATCCCTGTGCAGTGGGTACAAGTGGTGCGGTGTTGCATTACTCGATTTTTTTGGGGATACGAGTGTCGGTAGATCGCGTGTACACGCCACTTCCCAGCTTCCGAATAAGAAGTAGTAAAACCCAGCAGCAGAACGTTATAAGAATGTCTAACTAAAGTGAAACGTAGACCCATGGCGCTCCTCTCGTTTCCAGGGTGTGCATAAATATGATGAGGGCTATTCTAGCTGCAGCTTGCACAAATGCTTGTATTCGTGGTTTTTGGGTATCTCCAAAAAACGGTGATTAGGTCGTACTAGCTACACAGTATACAGCCTCGGTTCAAATAAGATTTTGTATTTGTCAGCTTAAAGGTCTCATGGCAACTGCCTAAAATCTCAACAATGCAGAACTTACTGCTGGATTATGTCTATCAAGAAGTAGCCTAGGTGACCTAGTGATACTAACAACAGGTACCGTCCCCAAACGTGGTAGATGCGCACAGGCATCGTTGCCTTTAATTTGCGCTTGTTTTCAGTTTTCTGTTAACAAACGCTGTTTAATGTAATATTTTTAGGTAAATATACCCTGCAGATGAAGTCGTGTTTGAGCAGAGGTATTGTTCGCTGTCCTGTGACTGACAGAGATTTTCCATTAGCATTCAATCAGGATGAACTCCTGAGCCAGTTAGTAGACTAATACAATATAGTACTTATTGTTTTCTCAAGATTTATCTAACGGAAGGTATGATCAAGTGTAAAATCGTAGTCTACTAACAACCAAGGTATTTATAATTAGTGGAATAGTGAGTGCGTACGTGTGCGTGTGCGTGTGCGTGTGCGTGTGCGTGTGCGTGTGCGTGTGCGTGTGCGTGTGCGTGTGCGTGTGCGTGTGCGTGTG